TTGTAATACGGTCGTTGTACGAAAGGAGATGGTTCAACCTGAGGAATTTACCGGGCAGTCCAGTCCAGTCTATCTGTTGGATAGGACCGTGAGGTATGTGCCGGAAGCGGAGATCAGGGTGAGGACGCCATACTTCACCGGAAGGGTAAGGGCGAAGTGTATTAGTAACCCGCTGTACGACCTTGTGCTCGGTAACGTGCCGATGGTGCGAGGCGTTAATGATCCGGACCCGAAATGGAACGAAATGGAGGAGGCAAGTCCAGCTGGAAAATTGGACAGGCAGACGGCCATAAAACAAAACCAGGAGACAAGCCAAGAAACAAGTGCAGAACAAGCTCCCAAGGGCTCTTCCGAATCATTGCCGGAGAACACCCCAAGCTCGGGACAACGCGAGGACGAGCCCATGCTCATCGCGAACGCGACAGAGACAGGAAAGAACAAAGATCAATCCAAAGAGCCGCGAGCCGAACTGAGGGTACCGCAGGTTTCGCCACTGGAAGCGACAGCCGAAGAGATGCTCAAGGAGCAAGAAAACGACAAGAGCCTCGAGAAATGTTTCCACAACATCGGTAAGACCTTTCCTAAGTATGGAGGAAGAACTAAGCGAAAGTTCTTTATAAGGAACAAGTTGTTGTATAGGAGTGTCATCTACAGCTCCGGAAGAAAAACGGATCAGCTGGTGCTTCCCGAGAAGTTCCGACGAACCGTGGTAGCCCTGGCCCACGATAGCATATTGTCGGGTCACCAGGGGATAAACAACACGATAGGGCTGGTCGCAGAAGAATTTTTCTGGCCCGGAATGCAGAGTGAGATACGAAGATACGTGAGATCTTGCGACGTTTGCCAGCGCACCGTGCCTAAAGGAAGAGTGGGTAAGGCACCCTTGGGGATCATGCCAACCATAGCGACGCCCTTCCAAAGGATTGCCATAGACATCATTGGCCCCATTACGCCGAAGTCGGATTCGGGAAAGAGATACATCCTGACCATGGTGGACGTAGCCACTCGCTACCCGGACGCGGTAGCTTTGCAAAGCACTGGTACCCCAGAGGTGGCGGAGGCGTTGATGGACATGTTCGCCCGATATGGCGTACCGGAAGAGATCCTCAGTGATCGAGGATCAAATTTTACATCGGACCTTATGAAGGAGGTGGGCCGACTGTTGTCAATGAGACACCTCCTAACGACCCCCTACCATCCTATGTGCAACGGCCTTGTGGAGAGGTTCAATGGCACATTAAAACAAATGCTCAGACGAATGTGCCAGGAGAGACCTAAAGACTGGGACCGGTACTTGCCCGCTCTACTTTTTGCGTACCGAGAAGTACCACAGTCCAGCTTAAAATTCTCTCCATTCGAACTCTTGTATGGGAGAAGAGTACGAGGACCGTTAGCAATCCTAAGAGAAGTCTGGTCCAACGAAGCAATGAAGAAAGAAACAAAGACTTCGTATGGGTACGTTTTAGAGTTGAGGGAGAAGCTCGAAGAAACATGTGAGCTGGCCCATCGATGTCTGGAGGTAGCGAAAGAAAAATATAAGGGAAATTACGACCATAAGCGGGTCAAACGTGAAATGAAGGCTGGAGATAGGGCGCTAATACTTCTTCCAAGTGATAACAACAAGATGCTTGTGCAATGGAAGGGCCCGTTTGAGGTCACGGCCCGAAAAAACGAAGTAGATTATGAGCTTGAGATTGGAGGAAGAAGCAAAATATTCCACGTGAACATGCTTAAGAAGTACGAGGAGAGGGAAGAGAGCGAACAAGTCGGCTTACGCTGTGGGGTGGCCGTAAAAGTCGACGAGGATAGCGACATCATCACCGAAGCAGGTGAGGACGAAGTTCCAATGCTCTCCCTGACAAAACAGCAAGACAAACGAGACGTGGTAGTCCATACCGATTTAAACAGAGAGAAAAGACAACAAGTGTTTGACTTGATCAGCGAATACGAAGAGATCTTTTCAGATCTACCGGGAAGGACGAACTTGATGACTTGCGACCTCCAGTTCACCACCCAAACGCCGGTACACATCAAACAGTATCCGCTACCATTGAAAGTACATAAGCTAGTGGAGGAAGAGATCACCGCGATGCTGAAGATGGGGGTTATCGAAAGATCGACGTCACCGTATAATGCTCCTATGGTAATGGTGAGAAAGCCAGACGGTTCGAACCGGTTCTGCATAGATTTCAGGCGTCTAAACCAGGTGTTAGTGTCCGATGCTGAACCCATACCAAGGCTAGACGTGACGTTTGCCAATGTGGGATGCAAAAAATTCTTCTCAAAACTTGATTTGACCAGAGGCTATTGGCAAATACCCATGGAGGAAGGGTCAAAAGCCAAGACCGCCTTTTCGTCATCAAGCGGATTGTACCAATTTAAGTTCATGCCGTTCGGGCTGAAAACGGCAGCAGCCACTTTCACTAAGTTGATGCGAAAGCTGCTGGAGGGTATCCCCGACGCACATCATTACATCGACGATGTACTGGTAGCAACAGACTCGTGGAAGCAACACGTCGACACGCTGAGAGAAATATTTGACAGGTTGCGCGCCGCCGGCATTACAATAAAGCCGAAGAAGTGGGAAATTGGATTCCGACAGATAAGCTTTTTGGGGCACCGAATAGGATTGGGGCTTATCGCACCAAGGCAAGAGATCCTCACGCGGATACAAGACGCACCCAGACCAACGACGAAACGTCAGGTTAGGTCATTTTTGGGGCTGACAGGATTTTACCGAGAATTTATACCAAACTACGCGGGAGTAGCGGCTCCTTTGACAAACCTGACGAAGAAGGGAGCAAGTAATGAGGTTGAGTGGGGTGAGCAGCATGAAGCAGCCTTCTCGCTCCTGAAGCAGTCGTTAGCCGAGCCACCCATTTTGCTGGCTCCGAATGTAGAGAAGGAATTCACTTTGCGCACTGATGCTTCTGACACGAGCATAGGGGCGGTATTACTGCAAGACCGAGACGGGGTATGGCATCCCGTAGCTTACGCGAGTCGTAGACTCAGCGAGGCGGAGAAGAACTTTGCGACCGTAGAAAGAGAATGCTTAGCACTGGTGTGGGCGGTGGAGAGGTTCAAGATTTATTTGTACGGCCAACATTTTCGGGTACAGACAGACCACCAGCCGCTTGAGTTCATCAACAAGGCTAAACACAACAACAGTCGCATCATGAGGTGGAGTTTGAAGCTGCAGGACTACAGCTTCCACATAGAGTACATAAAAGGAAAAGATAACGTCGGCGCCGATTACTTGAGCCGGATATAAACGTGTAATTAACAGAGGGTAGGTAATGGTAGGAAAACAGCGTTTCTCAGTGTTTCAGTTAGATTAGTTTTCTTTCTTTTTGCTGAGGACGAGTCACAATGTCCCTTCAGGGTTAATTGAGTAGGGCAATCGTATATCGATGGAGTAGCTGTGTTTTGAGGTTCGTGGGGAGGCATGGAAATCTCGTGACGCTATACACGTGCCGGTTTTGTTGATAAACAGGGTGGGGTTAGTACAGTGCCAAGAGTGTGGTAATGTGTTGTGCATGCGGATGCTTCAACGACAGGCCGTGTGCTGTGAGTAAAACGATACCCGAAGGGTTCTGCGGCACGCGCCCTGACAGCCGAGAAAAAACACCCAGGGAAAGGACACGCAAGTGTCAACGAAGAGGAAGAAAATTCACAAGATGAATTTTTCGAACATTGGGGGCATTGTCACGATCGTGAACCGGAGGAGGAAAGAGAAGAAGACGAGAAGGCGACCGATGCGTGGTGTGGGGAAAAAGAAAGAAAAGAAGAGGTTTTGGAACGAGCATCAAGAGGAACGAGACAGCACTGGTCCGGTGAACAGCACGGCGACTTCGGCTACGCTCCGGAGGAAGCCCCCCCCGAGGCCCGCTCCCGGGAGTCCACCGTTAACCAACGGGGCGACTTCGGCTACGCTCCGGAGGAAGCCCACCCGAGGCACGCTCCCGGGAGTCCACCGTTAACCAACGGGGCGACTTCGGCTACGCTCCGGAGGAAGCCCCACCCGAGGCCCGCTCCCGGGAATCTACCGAGATCAACCAACGAGGCGTCCGCCGTCAGAGCGGCAAGATGATGTTCTTCCCCAAGGAAAGAGACCTGAGAGCGCACCAGAGCCGGGACACTTCAAGGTTGTGAGTGCTAGGGGTGGAGACTTGGGTCTAGGGGACTAAGACAATACTGTACCGTACGGTTTCTGATGCCTTTCGCTTTTGTTTATTTATGTAAATACATGTACATACAGTGAAATTTCGTAACCTGTTCGTCCGGGTCCTCTGATTTCGGGGTCCGTCTCGGTTGAACGTGACACTTATCAAGTTGGTCAAATCGCTGGGCGGACATTTTAAAATTATAGTGAGGTCGATAGCGATGGGGCTTCTGTAAAAACGCCGAATGGCTCCGCGTTACCAACTTGCTCATCTATTTTCTCTAAGTGTTGGTTCTTTATATATATATATCTGTCCACTAAGTTTAGGTCAACTTATTGGACAACTCAACGCACCAATGTGGCCAATGGTGTTGTAGCGTCGTCTTCGTCCTCATTAATGGCATCATACTCACCGCTCTCGTCGCGTTGGTCGGTCATCGCACATTCGAGGCAGCTCCGCCGCTCCGCCGGCTTCGCGATATGCTACAGCCCTCGATTACTTCAACTAAGCGCGATTGTAACGCCCTGACACCTCCAAGTGGCAAAGCTTGTAATTACGGTACGCTTGGCCCTTCATGGCATGATGACGCCAACGCCGCGCCGAGTCTGCTGGATCTCCCGATATGCCTCGCGCTCTTCGATGGCTGATTTTGAAACGCTCGCCAAAATACAGGCATTTAGACGAAAAATACGGCTATCCGATTAAAGTAGAACCACGCGATTATTAATTACACATATAGCTGATGCTAGAAAGCTTATTTCTTAAATTTTTTGTTTATTTTAAAATTCGATTCGGGATATCTTCAATCCCTTGACAGCAATTGTCAATTTATTTTGATCACCCGCGTGGTTGCCAACTGTAAACGGGCTTGCAGCTCTTGTGGTACTGTAGCTTCGTTTGGCCACCGCAGTTCTTGTAGGCTTTTTCGCACCGCCTTGGAGGATTATTCTCTACTGTAAAATAGCCCATCCACAGCGTACAGCCTGAAAGAGCACAGAGAGAGAATCATCGATGTAAACAGTTATACGGAGCAGTCATTTTACGCGAAAGTTGCCAAAATGTGAGATATAACTAGTGTCTAGGGAAGTGTACAATAATTGCAGGCGGCATACAACGCGCAAGTGTTCGAGACTGGGACGTCAAATAGAAAACCACACATCCCGGTCTTGCAACTCCACAAACATACTTCCCTTGCTGCACAAGGTTCGCCATAGAGGAGGGTTACAGCGCAGTCACTGAGCGGGACTGGTTTAAGCGGTCATAGCAGAAACCAGAAAGACGAAGAACCGTGACGATGCATTTTGCCACTTTAGTTGAGACTCCTTTACATAGTAGAATCGGCTCTGGTGCCACGTTAAATAAAACCAAGTATATATCCTTTTTTCATTATTTTTCAAGAACCGTGCTATGTTGTGTTAATGTGCTACAATAGTTTTTTTTCTTGTTTTTTTTGCAAATCGTTAATGAATATACGGCAACTTCAAATCAGATGCTCACATCACGAGCAATCTTCGGGCGTAAACTAAATTCGTATTCATAAGCCAATGAGAGCACTGCATTTAAAATGTTCACAAATGCAGTACATTTATCGCACATAAATTTTATTTATGTAAGTATCTGGGTAAAAACGTTCGAGACTAAAATAACCCGTTTATTCCTACAAACGTTCCGGTCTGCTGGATCTACTTTCGAGTATTCATCTTAAAGAAGCTCTCAGGTTTTTGCTCTATGTTACGCCATCTGTGAGTACCAGCGTCAACTACAAGGTTTTTTTGCCGTTTACTTAGGTGTGAATAAAACAAAACGCTTTTTAGACTTGTTTTTAGACGCACACTCATGAAAGTTGAGCGGGCACAACCTAAAGACAGCTTTGTGAAAAGTTTTAATGCACTCTACTTGTTGTTTTAATTATGCGAACTTTTTTCTACGCCCGAATAGCGCTCCAGAACACCCGGTAGATTGCGTTCCTATTGCCACGACCACGTTCCTGACACGCTGGCCGTGTCTGACAACTAAAGCCCCTCTAGGCTGGGAAAAGTGGCGCCATTCATTGTTGTGCAAATGCTCGAGACACGTGCCGCGCGCCACTTCTGAGAATAACATGTCTTCAAATCTAACTTAGTGCTGCGCTGTGCCGTCATGATCTTCCCAGAGGCTGCACGATGCACGTGCCTCGTGCATCGACGCACCTTGAGCTACTTTTGCAACATGAGGGGGCTTTACTAACAACGAGCGCACTGCTCCATCTTTGTATCCTGTCACCTTAGAGACTGGCCCACATAAAGCTGGCTCACACATTTCTGTCGCTTGCGTTCTCAGCAACTGAAACGATAGAAACAAAACGTGTCGAGACAAGTGTTCTCCGTACTCAACGTAGCCAGCGGTGCAAGACGTATAGTTTGGCGAAGCCATCATAAGTCACGATCGTCACGGTGTTCTTGTCGTTTCTGCCGTTTTGGTTGTTGTGAACGCAACTGTCCCAAATGTGCGAACCAGCAATTAAGAAGTATCTTCCAAATTGTCGATCACACTTCAGTGGGCGCGATCAGGCCTTTTGTAGGGCTATACTCCGTTCCACCTTCAGTCCGAGCGCAGAGGACGCCACGAGCTATTCCAGCCGATCCAGCGCCGGGAGAAAATCACGTGACCTGCCGGTTGGGCGGAGCGACATGAGGAGCTCAAGGTCACATGACACTCTCTCAACGCTGAGTTGGCTGGGACGGCTCCTAGCGTCCGCTGCGCTCGGACTGAAGGTGAAACGGAGTATAGTTCAATGAACGGTGGAGGCAATAGCGTAGCCAGGAGTGCAGCTTATAGGAATTCAGCCCCCCCCCCCCCTGTTCACCTCCTTGGCTACGCAATTGAGAAAAGTTTGGCAAAACCCACACTGTATACTTATTGTCGGCACAGTCTGGGTGCTTAATGCCAGGCTTCTAAACAGTAGTTTAGATCAAACCACGATATTGGTTAAAACCTAGGCCAGCTGCTAAACTAACTTGTTTAGTGAGCTAAAAGAAGGAAGAGAACATTAATAAGCGACGTAAGTCTCGATTTCATTTGCTTGTCTCAATGTGCTACCATGGGATCGCCCAGCTACTAACACGTCCCGTTAAGAACAAGACGGCAATGTCTGCTCAAACCCCTTCTTTTTATACTCTTTTGGCTTCACCAGCCACAAACATGATTCTTTTTTTTGTGTGGTCATTCAATTGGATAAATCGTCGAGCAATAAGCTCGATGATATATCACGACGTTTGCCAGAAAGGCGAATGAACCTTCGACAGCTTTTTTTCATGGCTAAGCGGCGCCAACCTTTAGGGTAGAAGGAGCATGGCATTACTAAGAAGAGATGGCTGTTGCTACCCATCGTGAACTCGCATCAATATTCATTTGGTATGCCTCGTGATGCTGCTACTCTTCTCACGGAGGTTAGCGGTACCTAGACCTTACATTAGACAAACTCACCTGATCCGTCTTCTATATTTAAGGTTTTTGTAACTTGACACTGCTCCGATACGTTCATGTAAATCAGTTTTCGTTTTTGCTCTGTTGGACGCAAAACAGAGTACATATATGACTTGTTTTCAGAATTTCTTCACAAGCATTACTTGCAAGAGGATCAAATCTACACACGAACTGGTTACGAAACATCGTAATCTAGACACGTTCGATTCTATTTTACTTATATGAGGGCTAAGTATAGTTACATACAGGACGCTAATAGGAAACAAGATGGCAGTCACCAACTGCAGTGGGAAAAGTTTTCAAGAATAACAATATTTCAGCAACTTCGTTTAATATGTGTGTAAAACACCAAACATGTTTACAGTTTTGAATTGCAGCGCTGTTTTTTTTATTTCGTTTTTCTGGGGGGTCTTAGTGTAAGAAAAGGGCTCCCTTCATTGTTGTCTAAAGACTTATTAAGCACACCTGATGTATCCTAAAAATCTTACTTTTATCATGCCCAAAAATAAAACACGTATGTACGTAACAAATCTTCCTGTAGTCAGCTACTAATCTTGGCGCAAAAAATATTTGCTTTGTGAGTCGGACCCCGGTTTAAAATACACATAACTAAGCTAGTCGAAGTATATTTGTGAAATCATCTCTTTATACCTTCATATTTGATAAACATATCTTTTAGGTAGGGACATGGATTATCGCTAGGCAGCGATTTAAATAACTTCGAGACATAACTAGAGTTTATTTAAAAATACGCATACGTAAACGGGGAGGATATACCGGGTATTTTTACGACGACCTTTCAAATATCCTTAAGCTAGTGCGTTTGAGAAAAAAGGGAAACTCTTTTCAGAAAAAAAAACTGCCAGCCGTGGCGGACGTCGGGATTTGAGAAAACATACTGCTGAGCAACATAATTATCTTAATTTATATTTAACTTCTTAGTTAGTGGAAATAAACATGATTTTAACTAAAAACTTCCTCAGCGTCATGGAAAGCTTTTCGATCAGTTGACTGTAGGACGAATTCAAGCACGTGGAAAGCACGGTGATGCGCAATAGAGGTGCCACTCCTGCAGCAGGCGCAAGGCCGGTGATGCGAAATCACGAATGATGACTTCATTCTTTACGTCGCTTTCCCTTATAGCCCCATATTCTTATCATTCGCGTGTTTGCAACGAAGGCTTTGCGCCTGCTGCACGAGTAGAGAATAAATAAATGGGGAAAAAACGCGGTGTCTCCTTCCAATCTGTTATCGCTGACAGTTTCAAAAATACATGACGTAGAGAGTGTGGCCAGGTCGCCAGCGTCCCACTATGTTTAAGCCACAGTCAATGAGGCCAGGGCATTACACGGTAAGAACGCCAAGGAACAAATCGTACCCCAAAACGTACGAACATTATAAGCCACGTCCTGCGTTCCTTCAGACCTCGGTTACTTTAGATATACCACAGATATATATATATATATATATATATATATATATATATATATATATATATATATATATATATGCGTGCGTGTGTCCGTGTGTGTTTGTGTGTGTGTGGTAAATGCGTTTATATGTTTCAGAATAAGAATGATGGAATCGTTGAAAAAAAATCTCCTCAGGTTCTGAAGGCTCAGTTTCGCGCCTGCCGACCTAGGCCTTGAGGCACTCAAAGGGGCGATCGCAGGCTATACGAACAGCAAGTCGTCTGCTTCCTTTGCAGGGGTTGTGGTAGCGTCAGAACGCCGACATCTGATTGTTTCGGAATGAAGGTTAGTGTTTAGACCTCAAGGCAGCTTGCTTTGTGGTCGACCCACTATCCTACTATCACAACCAATCAGAGGTCGGCGTCTTTCTGACGTCACCGCAACTCCTGCGCCAAAAGCAGAAGACTTGCTCTCCGCATAGTCTATGAAAGATTAAGACGTGGAGGACGCGGCCTATTACGATCACGCTTCGTGCTTTGTTATTCGTTCTTTGTCGTTTTTTTATCGGCTTATATTCGCGATCTTATTGGCCGCACGGAAAAAAAAAAGATGCTCCGGGTTCTACGCGCATTGCATTTCGTAATCCCTCAGTGACTACAAAATACGCAGTTTTCTCATAAAATACGCTTACTCTGTAAAGTAGTATAATATTTCTGGAAAAATTGGGCATTATAATTATTTAAATTCTTTAGTGTCGATTTTATCACTTTAAAAAGAATGGCATGGATAATATTCTCGTACTTTCATAACAAACTGCATTCTACTGCTACATCGCACGCAAAGTGGTTAGCGTGAATAAATATTCAACTTCCTTTTCTTATTTTACTTCACGAACATTTCAATTGAAGGCAGCACTAGTACATTTGTAGAATTTCTCAACAGCGGTTTTGGCGAGAGTCAGAATGCCGCGTAGATCCTGAAAGATTGTACGATGATCCTCCACATTGAAAAACTGCAGTCCAAGAAATGACGGTGCTCCAAATAAAGCGCAAGGTAACTGGTATTTGTAGTTCTTTGCATTTTTCATGGTTTCCAGCATGGGGAGAGCGAAAGGTTGTCAAAAAACGAAAGCCCTTTGACAAATTAACTTACGTCTTTTTGATGTTTTATTAGTATAGAAAAAAGCATTGGGTTCATTTGCGTAGAACCCTACGATAACATCTCCCTGCTTTGTGTATCTAAAAAGAAATATTTAATAAAAGGTTAAGGGATTGATCGTTGTTTTACACAATAAGAAAACAATACACAATTCCGGACATGGGGTGGCCCAATTTTTTAATCCTGTCTCCGCCGTTTATTTTGAGTTTGGGCTGTTTCGTAAAACTTTGATTCATTCGATCAAGTACGGTTATCTTAACGGAATATTTTAAATTATATTTTTTCCTTCTCCCTTTCTTTGTTTATTTTTGTTAGATTTTTGTCCCATATCTATGTCTCCCCGCACCGTTTCACATAACAAAGCTCAAGCGAGACGGCGGCTCATTTAATTTGCACGTAAATAAAACATTTCAACAACATGCGACGACGAAGCGACTCGATCTACTATCCCCGTACAAAGATAGGTGCCAACCAAATGCAAGGTGATACAGAGGTCTCTGGGAAAAAAACCTTCAAATAACAAAGCAATCACTGGTAAACTGAACATTACGGAGACTAGCGTAGCGCTGAAGGAGGCGTAATAAAAACTTTCAGCAGATCGTCTGCTGACCTGACAAGGCGATCCCTGCCGTGAAGATCGGCGCGTATCTTGTGTGCCAGGGGAAGGGGGGGGGGGGGGAAGTAGATGCCTGTCGCCGATGTCTTGCCGTTCACGAAGTAGTTGAACGCGCTTAAGGACTTGTAGGTTTTGAGTCGTTCTACAGTAGTTCTTTGCTGCCGTCTCGAATAGGTAGATTTCCCATTTTAGGGGCGAAGCTCCTTAGGGTCTAGCCTTGTCCGTCCGGCGCTGGGATGGCAGTCGATGCTCACATCGATTGCCATCCCATCTGTCTTCTTAAAAAAATAAAAAGATGTTTGACCAGTCGACAGGATTCGAACCTGTGCGGGGATACCCCAATGGATGTCTAGTCCATCGCCTTAACCACTCGGCCATGACTGCGAGACGAGTAGCGGCCCTGAGGTGTGGTAGTAACTCAAGAGCTGAGGATCTCATGGATGAAACGCTCCTTTTAGCCACTTAACGTCTATACAGGAGAAGGCGCAGCGGTCAAATGGCATATAATCGCGTTAAACTTTATATGCATTGGCTCAACGTTTATAGACGAGAGGGCGCTGCGGTCAAATGCTCAAATGCGTATAAAACCACGTTCCGTACCACACATTGTCTTTTTGACATGGATGAAAACGAACGAGAAGCTCGGCATGCTGCGGCTTAGCGTCTACGCAGACAGCAAGCTGCTCCGGATGCAAGGGAGCCAGAAGCTGCTGCAAAGTGCCAAAAACGCCAAGTTGACTAAAAAATCAGCGCCATCGGCACTACCTATGAACAAGATCAGTATCGTCAGGACCACCAGAGCTTCGCCCCAATCAACATCATTCACCACGTGGAGATGCGGTCATTTTCTTCGAGGAACAAGTGCTCGTTCTTCTCATCCAATGAGCTTAAGTGCATGTTTTTAGATGTCGCAGTCGGTCATCGGCAGCGAGACTATTAAAGTACGTGCTACTTACTGCGGGCCTCAAAAACAACCATAAAAAATGGACAACAGAAAGCAACATACTCCCCACGGAGGATGGTTTATTCCTTTGTTTTTGTTTACCGTTGAACACCCTCTATAACTTAAAACATACCTTCCCGAGAAAACTCGTTTGTTTCGCCAGAAATGAAACAATCCCCAAAATCGCTTCAGTGACTGAGGAGTCATATGATTTGACATATATAATAAAGTGTTGTTTTTGATACCCTTAAATATAATAACAAATACGGAAAAGAACAAAATGACACCACGTTACTGTAGGAAGAAAATCTAGAAATGATTATAACCCGCTTATTTATTTGCTACTCTGTGTGATATTCGAAGCGCAGCGCGTGCAGCATGTTTTCATTCTAGTGTTAAAAAGCCTATAACAATCTTTTTGTTTATTTGGACAAAACCTGACAACTCAAAATCATTATGATGTAGATTTTCTAGATCTGCTTTAACTTGTAATTTTATTTTGTTTTATTTCACTAAATATTGAGAGTTGATTTGTTTAACTCTGTAAACTTATAGGATTTGTTTTTCCTTTACTCTTCAGGCGTTATGAAGGTCAAGCGAACATATTTTATGCATTATCAAAATTTCACTCGAAGTAACTCTCAAGTGTTTTTCCTCGAGCGACGCCTTACTCGCAGAGCAAACATTGAAGGCGCCCACTATCTGTGTTGAATGCATTTGCTTGAGCAATATTTTCAATAATCAGGAACTAGATTACGTTTAAACCACGACCTGTCATAGACGATGCATGTACTTCCGAAGGGACCCTTTGTGAAGCTCTTGATGAGCTGCACATCGGCCGTGGTGCTACCGCCGTCTCCGAATTTCATGCCTGCTCCAGTAGCTTTCTGGCATGACGAAGCATGCGGTTGCGTTCCACCATCTTTGCTTTCACTTTGGGTTCGCAAACGCACCTTATCCTGGGCCTTTGCTCAATGTTGCCAAGTAGTGGGATTTTTCTTCTTCATATTTTCGAAAAACCTGAAAGCTCAAAGGCACAACGAACGAAACGTGGCCTCTTTCAGAACTGCATGCGCGTAATTCTGCGAACAAGGGCTTATTAATATTAGAAAAAAGATTAAGAAAGTTTTTTTATAGGGCCCCAATCTAAGTATGAATAATTATTTTTGTCGTACGGCAAGCTTACAGGTGCACAATCGTGCGAAAAAGAACGTAACTAACCGGCAGATTATTATAAAATATTTACCGGCACATGATAGTCAAAAAAAAATTTTTCTTCAGTAGGCACTTTTGAAAGAAGCCTGAATTATAGAAAGGGCGCGGGGGGCGGGGGAGCAAGGCTAGAAATTCATTTATGGTTTACGTGCGAAGTTTCGTTTTTACAAATGACCTGCAGTAGTCTGGAATCTTCTTCAGATCGCGATTTCTTTCTGAGCAATGATTAAACTCAAATTTTTAATCGATATTTGGCTGTAAAGTAAATAAAAAACTTCAATTAAAGGCTTGTAACTTTCAAATGCATACTTACGGGTCTCTGCCGTAATTTGAGAGCATGTATTTGATTTTGATGGGATCCTCTTCGCGTTTGTCATCTCCTCCCCACCTATCCACGCATGAGTAGTTGCCAAATAATCTATCATTGGTGTAATCACGATACTTCATGGAGTATGTGCCATTCGTAAGGAATGCCTGAAAACAAAAAAGTGAAAGCCGTTTACAACTCCCTGTAACACAGAATTAGAGCGCAGCTCTTGAGGAGGAGGAGGGAAGGGTACTGGGGGGTGAAGTGACCTGGGGGGGGTCACGCGACCTTTGGGGGTCACGTGACGATGCCGATGATGTCATCAGTGACGTCACTGATGACGTCATCCGTGATGATGACGATGCGGATGCCGGTGACGTCATCAGTGACGTCACTGATGACGTCATCAGTGATGATGACGATGACGATGCGGATGCCGGTGAGGTCATCAGTGACGTCACTGATGACGTCATCAGTGACGATGACGATGCGGACTCCGATGACGTCATCATCGATGATGACGATGACGATGCGGATGTCGGTGACGTCATCAGTGACGTCACTGATGACTTAATCCGTGATGATGACGATGACGATGCGGATGCCGGTGACGTCATCAGTGACGTAACTGATGACGTCATCAGTGATGATGATGATGACGATGCGGATGCCGGTGAGGTCATCAGTGACGTCACTGATGACGTCATCAGTGATGACGACGATGTGGATGCCGGTGACGTCATCAGTGACGATGACGTCATCGGGGAGGTCACGTGACCTCGGCGGGGGGTCACGTGACCCTGGGGGTGGTCACGTGACCTCGGGGGGGGGTCACGTGACTTGGGGGTCACGTGACCTCGGGGGGTCACGTGACTTTGGGTGTCACGTGACCTTGGGGGTCACGTGACCTGGGTAGGGGTCACGTGACCTCTGGGGTTCACGTGACCTTGGGGTGACCTTGGGGGCCACGTGACCTTGGGATGACCTTGGGGGGTCGCGTGACCTTGGGGTGACCTTAGTTACGCAGACGCCGACTGCGACGCCGACGCCGCTCAAGCCGGGAACGGGCCCCTAAGAGCTGCGCTCTAAAAGGCCGGGGAAGGTCATTGACGCACAAAGAAAGACATCGTCTTTAGGGGTCTGTCTTATTCACATGTAAGGCTATGATTTCTACATACCTCGCGATTTCTTTTTCTTTAGTCAGTCAAAAATATCTCCAGTTCACCACTGTTTTGGTCTCTTATAACTAATGTTATTCTTTTTTTTAACTAGGAACGCACTAAATGTATTTACGTATTTTCATCAACACACCCGACCGGTATTCAGGACATCTCGAGTACGGATTCCGTCCACACCATATTGCTTTTTATCATATTTCTACGTCACTTGTGATGGTTTCCGTCTCTGCGCATCTAATTGGTTTACATTAAAGAGACAGAAAAAGATGTTGAAAATGGCTTTTATATGCCAGTGTATTTCATGCGTTTACTTGCTGGTGTCGGATCGGAAGCGGGGGCTAATATAGGGGGAGTTGAAGGGGTGACCCCTCCCCCCCCCCCCGCAGAAATTCACAAACACACAAAAACACTGAAGGTGACTTCTTTATAAATAAAGTGGAAGAGCCACATTTTGTTAAGAAATAAATTATTCGTGCATGGTAGAACGGTGCCTATTTTTGTCCGTGACGTCACATCCGGCAGTGATCTTATATTTATCGATAGCTTCATTTCTTCGCACGCTCCGATCCCCCAAGCCTGACTCATAAATTCGTCTCTGTTCGAAAGCGGGAACCGGATGGACACTATTTTATAATCTGCCAATACACTAGCAAACTACGCGAACGACCGTTATAACGCTAACTTTATGACTGACCTTCCAACATATACAGTTTTTCCCAACTACTGAGTATAAGGTTTAAAAATATCACTTGAAATAAATAAAGTATTTCGTCGTAATGACCGAGGAAGTTACCATTGAGAGCTAACAATTAAAACTTTAATTATATGAGAAGTACTAAATAATTTCTGAAATATTTACGTTAACACTGACACTTGAGATATTTGCTCGTCGTCTAACATGCATACCAGTTGCTAGAAGGAAACCCTAGTGGGACTCGGTCAGTCAGAACTTTTAAGTTCACAAATATCGCATACACATACGCAAAACACAAAGTTTGTTAAATACGTTTTTGTTGTTGTACACCTCTTTTCATATCACATAAAATGCTAATTACTCTTTATTTTACTTACACGCTTTTGTTCAAGAAAACTGGAAGAACAATAAAGTATTCTAGCAATATGTAAACCAGTTCGATTATTCTAATCTCTGGTCGCAATGCACAACTGATCGGCACTCTTTTATGCGCTCTAGAATAGAGCACATGGTGCGAGCTTCCAGAGGTATCTGGAAGCTCGCACCGTAGTGAAGAACCTCGGAAACACTCGGGGGTACACAAAGAAGTTTACAAACACAATTCCGTCTCGGACTTGTGGTTGCCCCTTTTTTCTGTGTCGGCTCGTCTCCGTTTTTCTTTTTTTTTTTCAGTTTGATCGTTTGTTTGCTTGACAGCACAATCACCCTTATTTCAGGAAGCTCGCTTCTTATACACGTAGAAGATATGGTCCAGCAGCAATCTTGGATGAAAACAAGCAGCTACGGAAATCACTGCTATATATCGACTGAAAACCGTTATTTCGAAAGAAACTATCAGTCGGCTTACCTCAGTTGCATTATATCGTGGCCGTTTTACACTCGCTTCATGTGAACTGAAGATGGACCCCGCCAGAATAAAGCAAGAAACGAACAGCGATATACTCATCGTAGTTTTCGATTTAACCGCTCTCCGGTCAACTGACTTCGTAGTATACAAGGGAAGGAAGCTATACACGTTAATGAAACATACCGACTTTTATATTCCCGGTTTTGAGTTTGTTGACCCAGGATCTTAGAGCAATGCGGTGTTACAAATACCACCCACTCGCTTGTGAACGTATACCGTAATGCGTCGTGTATCTTGACGTAAGAGATATTGCGAAAGTGTTTGTTCTATACGTCTTCCATCCTTCGTTCATTTCTTGTGGCACAATGAAAGTTCATATTCGTAGAAACCAAATCTTTTCTGCTCTTATAACGTCATAGGCTTAGATATGACGAGTAAAATAAAAGTCAATTTCAGAAGTGCTTATACGAGTATCGCTATTTCTTAAATTGCTGTGTCAGAACTTCCACAAGACAAATTTGGAATACTTGACCTTATATTTGTACACATCAAAACCTGTAGTCAACATTAAACCCTCTTTTACTCGTTTTAACCTACCACATTTCTACCATATAAAAAATTGTTTGCCTAAAATCCTGCAGAAAAAAAAAATTGCTATTAGTGATGCGCTGTTGGCGATGATTTTTCTAGGCCAGTTCAGCTGGCAAGAAGGAAACTAGTGGAATTTGCGAAAACCGCAAAACAGCCGGTTCAGGTTGCCAATTGACCGACTGCACATCAACGATAGGTGCTTTATGTTTGATCATGAATCTGACAATGTGCGTGAGGTCGACGATATTCAGTCTAGAGAACTTATCGAGATTCCATCGACATCAAACCAGGCACCCATCCAATGAAGCTTAAACGTAAAGTATAACGGCGCAAACCGTTCAGCATAGGCAATTCCAATTGTCGTGACAAACAAGAGTCAAGCAAGACTGTTGTGGCCACGAGAAACCCGGACGTGGGCACAGTCATGATTATTAACTGCCGCAGTATAAAAAATAAGGTGGACGAATTCTAGGGTTTAATCGAAACGGTCAGACCTACGATTGTTTTGGGGACGGAATCCTGGTTGGATGACACAATAGGATCAAACGAAGTATTTCCAGATAATTATGCTGTTTATTGGAAGGATAGAAATTCGCGCGGCGGAGGCGTGTTCGTCCTTGTGGAAAAAGGCGTTCCGACTACACCTTTGCCGATACCAGATGTAACTATAGAAACAGCGTGGTGCCAGATGTGTTTAGAGGGTAAACATTTATCGGTTGTGTATACTATCGTCCTCCAAACGAGAACAGTAGCGGCTTAGATGAACTAGCTGATTTAATCCTTGCGGCCTCAAAATAGTATGTCCTTCTGGGCGGAGATTTTAACATTTCCGATTTAATTTGGGAGGACGGCAAGGCGACCGACTCAGGAAGTACGCTTCATACTAAATTGAGTGCCATTGTGGAAATGTTTGACTTAACACAATACGTCAGGGAGGAAACGAGACTGTTAAATGTATTAGATTTGTTGTTATGCAATTTACCGGGTGCCATAGACATTGTTTGTGTAGTACCGGGCATTTCTGTTCATAAGATTGTGACAGCTGATTTGGTTCATCCAAAAATAAATAAATATAAATGTCAAGCAAGAAAATATTTTATTACGATAAAGGACGATATGATACCATAAGAAGCGAACTTGTTAGTTTTTTTTTTCGTATTTTTTAGAACAATCTGATAAGGTTAGTATTGATGCACTCTGGAACATGTTCAAATACAAAATCCATGACCTAGTAGAAAAATACATTCCTATCGGAGTAAAATCCTCAAAAACTAAAAATAAGCCCTCGGTGTCAAAAGAGGTGAAACAGATTATCGTACTAAGAAGAAGAGCATACCTTCGATATAAGAATAGGGGGGGGGGGGGGGCGAATCCAACAGGGTGAGATTAGAAAACATAAATACTCTTTTTAAAGCTACAATAAAAAGATCCAAAGACGCGTATTACGAGCAGTTAGAAACTAAGCTTAAAATGAACCCAAAAAAATTTTGGAAGTTTGTAAAAGCAAGTAACAAGGACGATACATTTGTTCCTCCTCTTTTAGTAGGCGATGAACTTATCGAGAATGAAAAAAAGAAAGGCAACGCATCTAAATAAATATTTCGAATCTGTTTTTTCTAAGCCTGCTACATCGTGCTGTCACCCAAACGTGCAACAAAAAATAAAATATGTCATGTCACCCATTGAAATAACATATAATGGTATAGCCTCGCTGCTGCGAGAACTTGATGTCCAGAAAGCAATCGGACCGGATAACATCTCTCCGGTTATATTGAAAAACTGTTCTGAGGAGTTGGCAAATTACTTGTGTGTTCTTTTTAATAAATCTCT